GTTTGTCCCTTAGTAAATATGTCAGCTAACTGGTCTTTTGTTGAGATATGCTTTACTAAAATATCTTTATTAACTACCTTTTCTTTCATGAAATGATAATCAATTTCCATGTGTTTGGTCATAACATGAAAAACATGATTTAAGGCTAATGTCAGTGCTCTAATGTTGTCACACCAAATAATTGGAGGCGAGTAAAGATACAGTTGGAACTCCTTCATTAGCATTCTTATCCAGTAAGCTTCGGCTGTGGCTAAAGTCATGCTTCGGTATTTTGATTTTGTGCTTGAACGTGAGACAACTCTTTGTTTCTTGGCACACCGTGATATTAAATTTCTCCCGAGAAAAATACTAAACCTACTTGTGCTTCTTCTATCATCCGGGTTACCAGCCCAATCTGAGTCACAAAAAACATGAATGTCAACTGTAGATGGGGCATAATAAAGTCCATCATCCATCGTACCTTTTAAATATTAAAGAACCCTTTTGACTGCCATCCAATGAGTATCTCGTGGATTATGCATAAATTGACATAACTGATTTACTATATAGGAAACATCAGGACGTGAAAAGGTGCAATATTATAATGCACCCACCACAAGCTTGTATTCAACAGGGTCTGGTAAAAGTGTGCCATCATACAAAGATAACATCATTCTTGAAATTGTTGGACATACGGTGGCTTTGCTCCTTGCATTTTGGTGTTGTCAAGAAGATCTGAGATGTATTTTGCTTGCCTAAGATGAAGGCCTTCATTGTTACGCTGGGCTTCAACTCTAAGAAAATAACTTAACTGTCTAAGATCTCGAATATGGAATTGGTCTTTTAAGCTATCAATAAAAGATATAATGGCAGAATGGCTTGATCCAGTGATAATGATTTTATCTACATATACTAACATAAAATTTTTCAATGTGTTAGTCAAAGTGTAAACAATGAATAATCAACCTTGGATTCCTCAAAGCTAAGTTCTAATAATTGTTGAGATAACCGTCAAAACCAAGCTTTTGGAGCTTGTTTAAGACCATACAGAGACTTATGAAGACGACACACGAGATCAGGCTAACTTTCATCAAGGAATCCTTAATGTTGTTCCATATACACCTCTTCATCAAGTATGCCATGTAAGAATGCATTGGAGATATCTAATTGTCTTATAGGCCAATGGAATTGAACTGCAATAGATAAAACCAATCTAACTGTAGTTGGTTTAACTACCAGGGAAAAAATAGCAAAGTAATCAATTCCAGATTTTTGATCGAAGCCCTTTGCCACAAGTCGTGCTTTGTAGCGTTCAATGCTACCATCCGGGTGTCGCTTAATCTTGAAAACCCACTTATTCCTCACTACATGTTTGTCGGGTGGTCTTGGACAGAGAGACCGCGTCCCATTTTCAATCAAAGCATCAAATTCACATCCCATTGCTTGTCTCCATTCAAGTCGTGCTACTGCTTGTGTATAGCAAGTTGGCTCGGATTCTGTTAAGATACTAGTCAAACAACGAAAAGGATGATGAGTGGAATAAAACATTTGGAATCCAGAAAAGTCTTTTGGTTTTGAATTCCCTGTTTTGGACTGAGTGAGGATAGTTCTTTTTGGTTACTCAAGGAGAGGTGCTTGTGGATCAGGATTGGTAGGTTCTGGATAAGAATTTATGTCTATATTAGACTCTGATGGGCTTACAGACAAAGGTGAAGCTACAGAATCATTATTAGGCAAGGATGAGGTAGTATATGGAGAATGTGAGGTATTGTTTTCACAAGCAAGATCAAGTGGATTTGAACTGGGATTTAAATGGAGTGGAATGGAATGTGAGATAGGAAACAAACCTGTCAACATCGTGCTTGTTTGGTCTATTGAAATGCAACAGTTATCCTTTGCTAGAAAGGAGTTCTCATCAAACTCTACATGCCTGGAAATATAAATTTACCGGAGTCCAAATCTAAGCATCTATATCCTTTGTGTTGAGTTGCATACCCAATAAAAAGACATTGTTTGCTGCGAAAAGATAACTTGTGGTTTTCATATGGTCGCAAGTAAGGATAACATATGCAGCCAAATGTTCTTAGAGATGTATATGATTGTATTTTTTTATGAAGCACAAAGTAAGGAGATAGATTATGAAGGACTTTTGTTGGAAGATGATTGATGAGAAAAACTGCAGTAAGAAAAGCATCGGTCTAATATTTATTTGGTAAGTGTGTTTTAGCTAATAATGTTAAACCAGTTTCTTGAATGTGTCGATGCTTTCTTTCGGCAATTTCATTTTACTGAGAAGTGTAAGGGCAGGCTAATCTATAGTGTATCCCATGTTTTGTTAAAAAAGATTTGAAATCATTGGAAAGATATTCTCCTCCATTGTCAGATTAGAGTTGTTGAATTTTAGAAGAGAACAAATTTTCCACAAGAGCTTTATATTGCTGAAAAATATTGAAGACATCAGACTTAAAGCGCAGACGATACAGTGTAAACCTATTGAAATTATCGACAAAAATAACATAGTAGCGATAACCACCAATTGAAGTTATTGGAGAGACCCATACGTCGGTGTGAATAATCTGTAAAGGCTTTGTAGTGTATCAGGTAGAATCAACAAAAGGCAGTTTAGTAGCTTTTCCTAATTGACAAGAATGACAGAAATCTAATTTACCTGAGGAATCAGAAAGAGGCAAGTAATGATGCAAACTATTCAAGGTAGAATTGGCAGGATGACTAAGACGATCATGCCAAGTTTCCAAAGATGTTTGTATGCTTAGTTTTGCAGTGAAGCAATGTATTTTATTTGATGAGCTCTGGGTAGAATTGGCAGGATGACTAAGACGATTATGCCAAGTTTTCAAAGATGTTTGTATGCTTAGTTTTGCAGGGAAGCAATGTATTTTATTTGATGAGCTCCGGTGTCCAGCAAATGGATTAAGTTGTTTTTCAACCAGACCTTGAAGTAGGATGCGATCTGTGTTGTTGTCCTTCACATAAAAATCAGTAGCAGTTAGCACAAAATAACAATCATTGTCTAAGCACACCTGATTGATGGATAAAAGATTGACATAAGCATTTGGACAATAAAGAATGTGTTTGAGCGTGAAAGAGGCATGATTAAAATGCTGAGTGGAAGTACCAGTATTTTTTATAACCAAACCTGTACCATTGCCAACTTGGACAGTATCAGCACCCTCGTAAGACGTTTGGATTGTTAAATTTGCTGCATGTGCGGTGATGTTGGTATATAATTTTTAACTCTGATATATTTTTTTAAATAAAAAATTAAAAAAAAAAAATTTATATATAGCGATAACATAGAATATTAAAATTAAAAAAATAATATATTAAAGAAATAATTATTTAATCATATATAATTACCATAATATAAAATACTATAAATATATGATTTAATTTATGCTAGTTATAAAAAATAATTATTACTAAAAAATAATCCCTGTAATAATTTTAATAATATTTTTTTAAATAATATATATAAAATTTTTTTATATAAATAAACCTACCACAAAAAAAAACAAGAGAGAGAGAATTTTAAAGGAAGAGCACACCGAAAACCCTAAAAAATTTGCTGCATGTGCGGTGATGTTGGTATCCAATTTTTAACTCATGTTTTGATATATTTTTTAAAATAACAAATAAAAAATAATAATAAAAATTTATATGTAACGATAACATAGAATATCAAAATTAAAAAAACATAAATTATATATAATTACTATAATATAAAATACTATAAATATATGGTTTAATTCGTATTAGTTATAGAAAATAATCAATGCAATATAAAATATTATATATATAAAATTGGTTATAGAAAATAATCTTTATAATAATTTTAATAATATTATTTTAAATAATATGTATTAGAAATTTTTTATATAAGTAAACCTAAAACAAAAAAAGGGGGAGAATTTTAAAGGAAGAGCACACCAAAAACCCTAAAGAAAAAGCTCATATTTATCAAGCCAGCCAGCCTCCCCTGGGGCTAGAGAAAAAAACCAAAACTACGCCCCTCCCCGGCTTTTCGCTTTTTTTCTTCTTCTTCCCCACTCACCTGCGCTCTCCCTCTCACAGCCGTCACTGTTCCTCCCCCCTTCTCAGTCAAAACTTCCCTCTGCACACAAGCTTCCCTTCCCCCTTCGCCAGACCTCACTCCCTCAGCTTGCAAACCACGGTGAACACCACTTACAGGCCTTTCCTCTCTGCCAACACAACCCCCAGAAACGGCTCTCCCGCAATCTTCCTCCTCACTAGCTATTTCCTCAGCAACAGCGCTGCAATAGCAACACCAAAAATTAACATGATAGCACTGCAACCTTCAGCCTCTGCACTATAATCTTCAGCAACAGCGCTATGACCAGTCTCGTCTCTGCACCATCTGCTTGTCCCAGTCGTCTTCCTTGCCATATCTCTTCCCCATCGCCTCCGTCCCTTCGTTTCTTTCTCCAGTTTCTTCTCCTCCAGCGATGCAACCTTTTCTTCCATAGGCACGGTGAGCTCTGGAAAGCGATAACAGCACCTCCTCCTTCTGCGCTAGTGGCGTTCACACCGGTTAGACCAACGGTGTAACTTCTTCTTCGCCAACACAACAATCTCTTCACTGGCGCTTCTCAACAGCCCAGTCATCTTGCACCGGCTACAACCGTGGAGTCATTTTCAGCCCCGACATCCATCACTAACTCGCAGCCCCTCAACCATCGAGAGCAGGTATTAGTCGAAGCAGCAGCCCACAAGAAAACAGAGAAAGAGTAAGAAAACACAGAGGGAATAACGTCCAGTACACCAGCACATCACACCTTCATCGTCGTCTCTCTAATCATCTCCATAGAGAACATCAGTAGAAGGAAAGAAAAGGAACAGAGGTCATCAACCGGCGTGGCCATCATTATTATTGTCCCCAGAAGCAGTGACCACCGGCTGTGCGCAGGAAGCTGCAGTACCGTTGTCTTCATCCATCTCAGTTACTAGAGAGGGAGAGAAAGAAAACACAGAAAATAGAACAGAAAAGATGAGAGAACAAGGGGAACGAAGATACAGAAGAGGAACCCACGAACGCAAGCAGCGGAAGGCAAAAAGGCCCGATCGATAGCAGACCAGGTAGGCTGTCTGTTATTCCCAGCTTCTGATTTCTGCATGCATCCTTAATGCATTTGTTACTGTTCAAGTGAAATTTAATTCACTTGAACAGTGATCAGCCAAGGCATGCGTGAGAGGAAACTCACGCATACCTTTGTGCCCAGCCGGGTCACTGGTTTGGGCCAATGACCCGGCTAGGTCTGCTGGGTTCAACCCAGCCACGTGGGTTGAGCTGGACCCAGCCTCCTAAAAATACAAGTAATATCATTGGTTTTTCTCGTGTATTTAATTTATGGTTTGTATTTTTTTATATTATAAACCAAAATAATTTTTTAGGAATAATAAATCATAAATTTATTACTTCACGGTTTATGAGTTGTGAGGGTATAAAACACTAAGGTAAAAATAGGCTTTTAAAGCGCCCTAAATTTCTAAATTTTTATCCCTTCTTCTTGCGATTTACGAGTCGCAAACTCTTGAAATACCAAAAAAAAAGAAGAGCTTTTAAAGCACATGAAATCTCTTTGGATTTCTATCTTAATAAATTTAGTTAGAATCAAACCTAGAAAAACTGATGGAATTAGAAAAACACCAATACCATAGTAACTATAAGACAAGCCAAACACCAAACAGCTTACTTTAGGTAGGACGTACTAGGGGTGCTAATACTTTCTCTTTATACAACCAGTTTCTTACTTTAGAATCTTTAAAAGACTAGTTAGGTTTTATAGTGATCATAATATTAGGTGGTGACTCCTTTACATAAAAAAATAAATAACTTGAAATTAATTGAGGATCGCCACTCTGCCGCGAGGGTGCGTCAGCATTGGCTCCACTATCCGCATACCAAACATTCTGGTCATATGAGGAATGACTTTCAGCAGCCATTGCTGCAAGGTCAATAGGTGGCAATCTTCCTTGATAAGAGAAGTCAAAACGATGAAAGCAATCAAGGGCGATATGGCCTCTTTTATCACAAATTTGACAGGTTGGCCTGTCATTGGTTCGAATTGTAGGAGGAAAGTGATTGCCTTTATTTAGATTGGAAGATGATTGCTGAAGTTGTGGCTTTGGAGTCAGCGTAGGTGTCCTAGGCTTCCTTGACATAAATGGTGGTTTCTTTTTATGTGTGATTGCAAAAGCATAGTGGTGTTCAGCCACTGAGTTGTTTTGTGCATCAATGAGAGTCTCAAAGCTTAAGAGTTCAGCCTGGAAGTCATCGAAGGATAAATCTTTGTCTCAACATGCAAAATTGAATGAGGTGATGAATGGAGTAAAAACTGGCCGAAGTCCTCCCAAGAGAAAGCTAATTAGGTCTTGATCATCTATAACCTTCCCTGCAACTGCTAGTTGATTAACCAGATTCTTGGCTTCCTGCATAAACTCACTACAAGACCGAGTGCCTTGAGTGATGGTCTGAAGTTGCCTTTTTAACAGAGCACTCCTAGATCTGGAAGTAGATGAAAACCGAGTGTGAAGAGCATCCCACACTTGTTTTGGAGGTTTTCATTCCATAAGTAGTATAAACTAGCTTTTTTCTAATAGAAGCTAATAGCCAACTTAGTACACAGGTGTCTCTCTTTGATCACACTGTGTAAGCTGTGTTAGTAATCCCATCTAAAAGAGATGTTGATGGAGGAGATACACTGCCATCAATAAGATCAACAAGATCATGAGTTCTGAGAAAGACCATGAATTGGACGCTTCAAGACAAATAGTTGGGGCCAACCAATTTTTGGGAGACAGGTTGGGCATGTGCTTGAATAGTAGGTGTAGGAAGTTGGACATGGTCATAGGAGGTAGAGGCCATTTGTTTGAAAGTAGATGTCTTTTTACCAGCTGATCCCATGTAAAATAAAAATATACAGAGGAAAATGGATAAGACTAAGAGAGTTTGAACTTGTTAGCTTGTATATCATTTACTTTTTATTAATGTATTTATAGAGTATTACATGTAACAAATTATAGAAAATCAAGGAATACAAATAAATTATTTACAGCTAACATTAACTTGTTGTTTTAATCACAACAGAATGAGAAACATTTAGAGGTGATTTGTTTGCTGTACAATTATTATCTTGATCTGATTTCTTCAACTTCTTTCTTGGTTTCTCTTAACAGATATTTGACTGAGTCATTACATGCTCTAACATAATGATTTTATTTAAAGAATTGGCATTTGGTTATTCACTAATCAATAAAATTTTATATATATAAAAAATATTATCACATTTTAAATATCTTACTTTAGACAAGTTGTATTACCAATTTTGTTATAAATTATTAATATTTTATTAATTTATTCTACAATAATTTGCATGTAATATTTATTTAAAAATTAAGTTATTACAACTGTCAAGATTTCTATTTGCAGTTGTTGGAACTACTCTACATTAAATAATAAAACAATTATAAAAATAACGATGTATGCAATTATTAGAGACAACGACATGAGTACAGGGTCCCTTTCCCTGGGTCCCACGGTTATATATTTTCTTAAGTGAAGAACATATTCTTAATTAGAAGGTTTGAAGCTCTAGTAATTTAATGAGTTTTTTTTTATTATTATTATAGATATTTCCTCTAAATGTGAAAACTCCTCGGCTGGAAGATTAGTGACTTATTAAAAAAATGTATATTAAAAAAATCCATAAAGAAAGTTTGACCTTTGTTCCTTAATTTCTTTGAGTGGATATATACGAAACTGTGATGCAGAGTTGAGAAAATAGTGGAATATGTTCATTCCCCCTCTAGCTGCTAGGGTTAGGATTTTGTGGAATTTTCATTGAAAAAATTGGAAAATTCTAAGGCTCATGGGTTAATAGAATCTCAATTGTTTATTAAAGTTAATAATAAAAACTTATCCTACTTTACAACCAATAAAAAAAGATATAAGATTATTTTTACAAGTTAATGCTTTTAGAAGAGAATCAGCTTGAATTTTGGCTTAAAATGAAGTGTAAATATAAATATTGTTATTTTTGCATATTTACAAGAAAATATTTGAAATAAAAATTAAAAACTTGATTTAGAGTATAAACAAAATTAATTAATCACCATAAATATTAATTAATAAATAAAAAACAGGCCAAGAGGAAACAGGCATTTAAATGCCTTTTAAATTTTAACCTTCAATTAATCCAAATTACTTTAAAGTCAATGAGAACAAAGTTGAGTACTCCATCTATTTAATCTACCTGCACCTTGTGAAGAGTTCGATTATTTAAAAAATTAATATGATGGCACTTTACAGTGTTTTTAATTAAAAGAAATTAATAATAAATTTAAAACTTGATACATACATTTAATTAATAAATTGAATTTATGCCTCAAAACAAATTATAATGTTTGATTTTTATCCTATTAAAATTAACTAGTCAAACTTATAATTGAATTTAACTATTTTTTTAAATTTTTTTATTTAATTATATAATAAAAAAAATATTTATTAAATTAAAAATCAACTAAATATTACAATAGATTACAACAAATATATAAATATCAAAATAAAACAAATTATATTATGCCCAACCCAGGAGCAAGTCCTTGGTTGGCCTAGCTTGCCTGGACAAAAAAAAATTCCAGCATGCAAGTTTTATTAAATAATTTTTATTTTAAAATATATTAAAATAATATTTTTTATTTTAAAAAAAATATTTTTGATATTAACACATGAAAATGATTCAAAAATATTTATAATATATTAATTTAAAGAAAACATTTTAATTTTTTTTAAATTAAATCACAGTCCAAACACGGTCAAAAACTTCCAAATGTCTTGACTTTTTTTTTTCTGTCATTTTTTATTACGAGACAGATGATCTATCATTTGTCTTCATTTGTTTAAAAGAGTTAAAAGCAGATGAGCCAAAAATTATAGTAACTTGGTTATCAAAAAGTCATAGCATAAATGTTTTACATATAAAAATTCTATTTTCAACCATTGTTTTTCTATTTATTTGAATATATCACCTCTAGCTTCGTATATTTATATTTCTCATCTTTTATTTATTTATTTTTGATATACTTTTTTGTTAGCTATTTTTTTATGGTATAGAAATGACAATATATAAAAGGCAACAAAAAGACAGTTAAAAGGGACCAATTTGATGTTTTTTTTTTTTTTACATTAAAAACACTTTAAATTAACACTTCCAAATATATATAAAAGAAATTCGAATACAAAAAAGAAACAAAGTAGCTTGGTGCTTTTTTAAGCAAACTTTCACACAAATTTGTTGACTAGCACATCTGTTTATTTATAAAATCAAGATTCGTAGAAAAGCTTTCGAAAGGATTCCATATGATCAGTCTCCAAGCATAAAGCCAACGAGAAACTCCCGTCGTTGGCTGGATTTGGATGTATGTATCCCTTACCTTCGAACATCGTTGCCGGACGCATAAGCAACGGAGCACCCCATCCAAAATCAGCTTTATAAAAAGGCAATCGCATCCAACTAACAACTGTAAGATTTGGGCAAGCACAAGTTGCAGAACCTCGAGCAATAGTGTTTACATCACCAACATCACCAACCTCTTCCAAGTAGTCAAGAGCAGATCTTAAATACTCCTCATCCATTTTCTTTATCTCTCTATGAATTCTTTCTACGGTGCACTTAAATGATTCCGATAAAAGGTCACCGGATAGAGCAATCGGAGAAGCTGTAAATATCACATTACCAAAGTAGCTAGACTGAAGTGGAGGATTCAATCTGGAACGACCATCGACCGATATAAGTAATTTGGTTTTCTGATCGTTTTTAGGAAAATTACGTGCCTTCGATATAGAACGCCATATGTGCGCGGCTAGGATCTCATAGGTGGTGTACTTGGTTTCGCTTTCGACGTTGTTTGCCTTTGCTTTTAAGGAATTAATATGATCCAGTGTAATTTTGAAATTTGCCAAAGAATGGGATTTTGTGTTTTTGCTAAGAGTATTCATGGTAGGTGGTGGATCATATTCAACATGATGGAAAATAGATTTTGGTGGCACCCGACCACGTAGGATGGTTCGATCAAGCAACGGTGGGATAGTGATAGAAAGGCCGCGTGCTAAAGCAGCCCAAGAGTTTATGAAATGGAGAGCTCCAGTGCCATCTGCTAGAGTGTGATGCCACCCAACTCCGAGACAAACTCCGCCACATTTGAACGAGGTTACCTGCCAGCAATAATAATGACAGATTTGTTACTACCTTAAGTTCGATAGATAAAAAAAAGTAATAATTAATTGTTGAAATTCTGCTTATGAGACGAATATATTGAAACCAAAAAAATTATCATGCCTTCTCAATCATAGATCATAAACTTGCTAGGCTTGCTATGGTTATTAGTTATAAGTGTAATAGATATACCTGTAGAAGAAGAAGTGGGTTAGGAGATATGTCTTCTAAATTACTGTCAACTGTTGGAATGAGTTGTCGAAGTTCCATGCTAGGCATGAATTCACCGAGCTCTTCAGTAGTAGAATCTGTGTCGGCCACTACGAACAACACCCCCTCCCCATTACAGTTTATTTCAATTCTACCGTTTTCATCCCTTGCCAACCTTCCAGCCACGGGATAAAATGGCACAAGAACCCTTCCCAGGGCTTCCTTAAGCACTGTAGCTTCGAAAAAATTGGCGGAGCCATTTGGCTTGTAGAGGTACACTGTAGGGAGGTAGTATCTTGGATGCAGCAAGTCCATATTAGAGAGCCAAAGCGATTGTTTAGGCATTTCTTGAACGGGGCGGACAATGATCGACTCTTTTGTGTTCACCTTCATCGTATTACCACCTGCAATATCTAACAATTGGTAATATGAACTTCTCAATTGTTGACGTGCAACTAGTAAATTCAAGCATAGATTAACCTGTAAAATTAGAAGCAAAATGTGTGTGCTGATGCATAAAAGGACTACGTGTATCTATATTTATAGAATGAATTGACAAATCCTCTGATCAGGGAACTAGAATAGATTTGAGCGGGAGGCGAAGGAGGCACGTACTAATTACGGAGAGGGATTGCATTCATTGAAGAAAGGGAAGTAGAAGTATGTGCTAATCGTGGGCCCTATCTCTTTCTGGATAATGTTTGTTGTTACAGTAATAATTACTTTTTAAAAATATTAAAAAAATTATTTTTATTATTTAAAATTTATTTTTAAAATAAACACATCAAAATAATTTAAAAACATAAAAAATATATTTTTAAAAACACTCAAATTTTATAAAACACCACTTAAGTTATATTTCCAAACAACATCGTAGCTTTGCATCCTAACCAGTTGTTATCAATAGAATAACAAATATATTATAACAAAATTGGATGTTGAACAATACGAACATTATTGACAAATTTACAATGCATTATAGAATTATTTTTATTATTTAAATAGCAAATTTTACATGTTAATTTCACTTATCAATATAATATATTATCTAATTAAGAATATGTTTATGAGTAACCATTTAGGTGGTGGTGAAGTATTAAACATTTAGAACTAAGGGGTTTGTTTCTTCTGTGATCTCAGGTTCGAGTCCTTAATTGCTCATATGATGGCCACTGAAGGCTTATATAGTCGTTAACTTCAGGATTTGTAGGATTAGTCAGGGTGCGCACAAGCTGACCCAAACACTTATATTAATAATAATAAAAAATATATATATAATCTTCAGTTAAAAAAAATATATAACCATGGGACTCAGGGAAAGGCACCCCATACTATTGTTGTTGTCTATAATAACTACATATAGCGTTATTTCTCTACTTTTTTTATTGTTTAATATAGTAAGAGAGTGGTGACCACATATGCATTACAGTTTGTTTTTATTGTGTAAATGTATTTTTGAAAAAAAAATATTTTTTATAATTTTAGATATATTATTGTTAAAGATAAATTTTAAAAAATATAAAAATATCATTTTATTACATTTTCAATCAAATAATATTTTAAAAATAATGGATATCATAATACAATACTCATTGTTATTGCAAAAAGGAGAGTGCCAACAAAGCATGGAACATGCATTAAAGGAGAGTTTGACCTATGTTGCCTATAATTCAAATCAACCTAGCTATAAAATTTAATATTCATGACCATCAAAATAATTTATTTTAGTTTCTATCAAAATAATTATTTAGTGTTTATTAGTTTTATTTTATAAAAATAAGTTTTTAAAGATATTTTCATCTTCAATTTTTCTAAAAAGTTAGATTAAATTTTAAAAAATGTTTGGATTTCATATTGATTTATATTTTTTAAACCTTTTATGAGTTATTTGAAGATATATATTGATTTATTTTGACTGATATAGTGTTTTTGAGTAAAAAATACTTAAAAAATAAATTATTTAGATATAAAACACTTATACCCTGCTTTTTTGGTGACCAATGTCACTATAATCTAGTTAGAATAGACAATGTATTTTATTTTTTCAAATAAATAAAAATAAATGATATATCACTTGTCGCATAAAAATAAAAACAGGCATGTGAATGCCATAGGAGTGCGCACTTGAACTATATCACTTGTCGCATAAAAATAAAAACAAGCACGAGTGCGCACTTGAATTTTTTTTTTAAAAGACCAAGACATGTTAGGCCTATCAAGTTCGTGTTCCTGAGTTTTTTTTTCATTATTTTTTTTTTATTTTTATCGTTTGTAATTATATCTTTATTAACTTTTCTTACTTAATTTATTTTTTAATTTTATATTTTAATAGTTTATTAATTTTGTTTTTGAACAAAATATAATTTCTTTTATTTTAAAATTTATAAATTTATCACGAACTTAACACTTTAATATTTAATTGATTCTTAAACTTATTAAATACTTTTAAACTTATTGTTGAATTTTCTTTAATTAAAAACATGTCAAAAATATCATCATATTAAATTTTTTGAATCATCCAACTACTCTCGACAAGGTGCAATCAAATAGAACTTCGTTCTCATTGACTTTTAAGTAATGATGTTTTTTGTTTTCTATACATGATATCAAAACCAGCGTTTTAAAATTCAGACTAGCCTGAGAGTCAACCCAGGACCCGGCCAACTTAGGCCTGGGACCGATCCAGGTGGAGACAAAAACCCGCTCGGGAATTGGCCCGGGCCACCCGGTCATTTTTTTTTTTAGTTTAACTATCATTAAAAAACATCGTTTATGGCTTTCTAAAATCCAAAACGCTGAAGACCGAAGAGTGAAGAAGAATGAAGCAAAATTAGTAACCTAATTAATTCTTTGAAACCCAGCTGAGGAGTAGAGAGGGATGTTTGACTTTTAATCGTTGTTGTTTCTCTGTGAAAAAGGTTTGAATATCCTTCTTTCACTCTCTGTTTTTTATGGCCTCTAGCCTTCTACCTCTCTCCTGACGTCGAGCCACTTCGCCCCTTAGTCCAGAGAGGCTTGACGAAGATGATTCAAATCAAGCGAAAGTAAAGGCATTCGTTAGCACTCGATATGCTAAGGATCAAACGATTAGGAAATGAAGGAAGTATTGCAGCTCATCTTGATTGAGACAAGTGCAAATTGCTTCACGTTTTCTTTTCTTCTTCCTGCCCTAGGAGCACAAAAGGAGGGATTAGTACTTTTGACCCAACTAACACCTGGGGCTCCGCACACTGGGAAAACAGCAACTTCAGCCATATGGGGAAATAGTACTATTTTTCACTCAGAATTGGGGAAAACAGCAACACCTGGGGCTCTACCCTTTACAGATTGTGGGGGAAATAATGTACTCCACATTTTTTTATGTCATCATTTTTTCAGTTAATTTTCTATCCTTTGCTCATGACCTGAGTTGTTATTGCAGGTGAATGTTACCATTTCACTTAGGGACAATTATTGCATCGAGATTGTTCTTCGCTGTTTGGCAGTAGAGGGTGATAGACTTGGATCACACCAAGTTAATGATGGGGGTGTTCTAGGTATTGTCATGACAGCTGGCTTTAAAAATTAGAAATTATCAATTGATTATATGATGCTTGGACTTTTGAATTTTCCACTGAATATACAGTGGTGTCCATGCAGTTCTTCCTTGTTTAGTTGAGGTATGATGTGAATGCGCACCAAAGTGGGTGTTCATGTATGCACTCATGCACAAATGTTTCCATAACTATATATAAATGCTCACATTTTGTTGAAACAATTGATTTGTTGGAACTGAGTTGTTTTTTTGTGAATGGAGAGGTATGAGCAGCTCATTAATTTTCTGTAATCTTCTCTGAGCATATCTGCAGGTTATTGGACCTTTGTTTAAATTGTTGGCTAACTAGGAAACTTTATTTTTTATATTGACTCACGTTAATTTGGGTTAACTTATCTGATCTGTGACTTGTTCACTTGATTAAATCAATAACGTTTCAAAATTATAATCAAAACTACAAGATAAACATTCTCATTCTTGCTAACCCCAAGATTGATGGGCCTTAATTAAATTCAACATGCACCACAAGATCTGATGCAACTATGATATTTCATAATATTTTTAAATTTTTAAGTTTTTTGTTTTTTTTCTTAATTAAATTATGATTTTTTTTAACTTACTGTTGTCACTAATAATTGCGTACAGGCTTGTGTTCTTCATTCTCACAGTAATTGGGTAGATAAATTTTAACTATTAATGCATGGCAAGAGGTGGGATTGGGTTTTTTTATTAGCATTTTTTTCAAATCATGCCAAAATAATATAGTTTTAAAACAATTATGAAATATTGTTTTTAAATGTCATAATTTATACAAGTCACCATTAAAAATGTAATATTTATAGTTTTTAGTTATTTAAAATAGCTTTCTCCAAAAAACAAAATCAAATGGAATGCACATTAGAAGAAAGGAAAAAAAAACATTGGAATACACTGAAAATATATTGAAATTCTGATAGCAATATTATCAGTACTATAAAAAAATTAATTAAATAAATACAATAATATCAAAGAAGATTACCAATGAAAATCCAAGTAAATCATATTTTTTGGCAAAGGCAAATGAACCACCATTATTTTTTCAGCAAGCGGAATGCACTAATGAGTTTTTGTAAGTTTTCATAGAAATTTTAAAGCTCGTTTTTTTTTTATATTTTAAAAATATTTTTTGTTTGTTTTAAATTATTTTTTTATATTTAA